TTTTTTTTTTTTTTTGTAAAGGAGGGAGAGAGGAAAGAACTTACACGACATCTAATTGTTGGGTAAAATGAGATATGAAAATTTAATTTATGAATGGGATAAAGCTGAATGCGTATACATATCTATTTGTCTTTATCTGTAGATGGTAGGGAACGGGTGGGAGGGGGGGGGGGGGGGGAAGGGAAGGGGTTAAATGATATATGGTCTGATTAGGATAACAGCATTGAATAGGATCAATTGCTGATTCTTATTAGTGTCGATGACGATCAACATTTTGTGCAACAACAAACAAACAAACAAATAACAACAGCAGCAGCAGCAGCAGCTTCAACAAAGCTGACTACTGAGCTTTTGACTGGTATTACCATCTTGCTTCCATCTTTTTTTTTTTCCTTTTTAGTTTCTAAGCCTTTCACCGATCTAACTGTATGATTGACTGTGAAGAGTCAGAAAATTTATATTTTTATGCTAAACAGATGAGTCTTTGGAAATAAATATTTTCTTAATAGGGCAGCGGATTCTGGCCTGCTGCTGCAGCAAATGGTGAACAAAAAGGAGAAAAAAAAAAGAAAGAGTGAATTATAAGATGGCCAAATGGCAAAAAATTTGCCACATGTCCCCCCCTTCACCTTAGTACGGCCGTCATTATTCATTAACAAATAAATGATTAAGGATTAGATGTTAATACGATATTAATAAACAAATGCTTAAGATGTTACTGACAAAAACATCCAAACCAAACAAGGAGATGCTAAAAAAAAAAAAAAAAAAGAAGATGGCAATGAAAAATGAAGAAAAAAAAAATGGTGGAAAAGAAAAATTCCTATTTGTTTATATCACTCTCTTAGGGCCTAATAATAACAATGTTAATAATTCGATCTGAACAATGACTTCTTGAAATCTTCCTTTTCCAACTCCTTTCCTCCGTTCATCGACTACCACCACCACCCCCTCTCGTTTCCCCGTTCCCTTCCTAGTCCTCCTTTTCTTCCCATCACCTTTTCATAGTAGACTTCATTTTGTTCCTTCTAGCTCTGTTTCTGTTTTTCCAACTCTCTTCTCATGTTTTCTGCTCTTTATCTTCCGGCTGACTTACATGCATCGAAAGAGAAGAAACAAAGAATGGAAAAGTACTTTTCATTTATTGCTAACAACCTTTCTTTGTTAAATGAATTGCCAATGCAATATATTATTATGACTATACATAATACACATTTCTTGTGATACCATATATGTACTATGAAATACATAGATATGTATATAAATTTCATACATTATAAATTACAACTTAGGATAATTTTTGCTTTACGAAAAAAAAAGATCAGAACTGCAA